ACTGAAAAAATACTTTTATTAGCATATTTCTGCTATAATTAAAGCTAAATTTTAAACATTTTTAAAATAAAAAGAATATTATATGAGTTGTTTTCAAAAATTCCTTCAATATAGCTTTTTAAGAAATGCCTGCTGAGTTCACCCAGGAAGTCTCTGTCATTATTTTATGGGGGAGATTATTGGAACAGTTTAGATAAGAGTGTCATGTTCCTGGGCAGAGGTGAGTCACACCTTCTCCTCTCACCAGACTCTGAGCTAATTCTCCACAGGTGAGGAGCAGGGGGAGCAGCAGCTGCAGGAGATTTCCCCAATCAGGGACGCGGGTTCAAAAGGAGGATGGAGACACATCACTTTGCCGGATGATTGCACCAGTTTAGGTAGCACCAGCCACTCGACTCTGAACTTTGATCTTGTTAATTCGTGTTTTGACTCGCCTTCGACTAGTGGATTTATGACCTTGGATTGTATTTTGGATTTGGAATTGGATTATCCCTTACGCCTGTTTTTGTCTCGCTCAGGATCATCTCATCATCTACTCACCCTCGCTGTCTTCGTTTTCTGGAACATACTCATCACGTCCCATCCTCCTCCGCCGTTCCTGTTTGGCTTTCCCTTTGCTACCTCACCCCTCCTGGATCTCTCATCCTCTGCCCAGCGTCCTCCCCGGCTTCCCCTCCTCTACTGATTAACCTGAGCACCTCAGAGACTCGAGCCGTGTTGCTCATCCCACAGGACTTCCCTGTGCGGTTTCAGTTCCCGTTTTTATAATAAAGACATTTTACTTTACTGCTTTGGACTACGTGTGCTGATTCTGCATGTCTTGGGTTAGACACTTACCTCGAGCCATGACAGAATCATCCGGCCACACATCTAATCCAGCGGAGTCAGCACTCGCGGATCTGGCTACCCGGATGTCCCAACAAGAGCAGACACTTCCCGTCCTCATGGAGCAGCTGAATATCACCAACCAACGTTATCAACGTTTGGAGACCGTCCTGCAGCAGCTTCAGGAGCAGCTCTCCTCTACAGCCTCGGGTTCCGTCCCCGCTCCAGCGACAGCCGCCGCTCCGGCGTTCGGAACAGAACCACACGCACACGCCTCGGGAGGTGTGGTTTCACCTGGACCGGAGGCGCTCGGCTCTCCGGAAATCACCCACTTCCGTTCGGCTCCTCCTCGGCAATGTCCGACCTTCTCCGGTGAATTCGAGGATTGCTTTGGGTTTCTGCTACAGTGCCGCCTAGCGTTTGAAGACTCCCCGAGGTCTTTTCCTACTGACTCAATGAAGATCTCGTTTATTGTTGGACTACTTAGAGGCAAGGCGCTTCGGTGGGCGGAGGCTAAGAGCAGAAATCCTAATTTCCTGTCTGGTTCTTACCCAGACTTTCTGGAGGATTTTAAACTGACTTTTTGCAGTTCAGAGACCACCACTGACATCAGAAAAAGACTGTTGCACCTCTCGCAGGGAAGAAGGTCAGTGGCTGACATGTCTCTGGAGTTTAGGACCTTGGCTGCAATGACATCATGGGGAGACGATGCCCTTAAAGCAGCATTCATCGAAGCGCTGAACGATCGGGTAAGGAACCAGCTGGCTCTGTGCCCCGAGCCATCAACCCTGGACGGACTGATCTCATTATGCATCTCTATCGACAAGAGACACAGGGAGCTTCAGAAGACACCATTCAGGGATCTGTCACCACCTGTAGCACATCGCCCATCCCATAGGTCTCCTCCTCTGGACTCACCCGAGGAGCCCATGCAGGTGGGACGTACCCACCTTACTCCAGAGGAGCGCCAACATCGTTACAGTAAAGGGTTGTGCCTTTACTGTGGAAAACCAGGACACATGGTGCACACTTGCCCTGCGGCGTCAAAAGGGCGTGCCCACCAGTAGTTCCGGGAGTTCTGGTGGGCAGTCATTCAGGTAAAGAGACCTCCCGTTTTCTTATTGACTGTGCTTTGACTGTTAACAGTCGTCGCCACCGGACGACTGCTCTAGTAGACTCAGGATGTGAACAGTCTTTGGTGGACCCTCAACTGGTGCGGGATTGGGGACTGTCTACTGTTCCACTGCCGGAACCTTTAACAGTGTCCTCCCTGGATGGGAGGCCCCTGGCCACAATCACCCACCGAGAGCAGGTATGACGTGGGGGACAGGGAGTTACTGGCAGTAAAACTGGCTTTGGAGGAGTGGAGACATTGGCTGGAGGGGGCTGAACTACCATTTATCATTTGGACTGATCATAAAAACCTGATCTATCTCAAGGAGGCAAAGAGACTGAACCCTCGACAGTATAGGTGGTCTTTGTTCTTCTCCCGCTTTAACTTTGTTTTGTCCTATAGACCAGGATCAAAGAACACAAAGCCTGACGCTCTGTCTCGCCAGCACTCCTCTGAAGATGAGACGGCTCCTAGCACCATCTTGCCTGCCTCCTGCATCGTTGCTGGAGTAACATGGCCCATAAGAGACCAGGTCCTTGAGGGCCTTAAGGTGGATCCTGGCCCAGGTAACGGACCCTCCAACAGACTGTTTGTTCCCCAGGCACTACGAGGAAAGGTTATTCACTGGGTTCACACCGGGAGGTTCTCAATCCACCCTGGAGTAGGACGTACTGTGGCTCTGATCAGGCGATCTTTCTGGTGGCCCTCCCTCTACAGAGACGTGAAGGAGTATGTGTCGGCCTGCCACGTCTGTGCCCAACAAAAAGGTACCAATCAGTCTCCAGCAGGCCTACTCTGTTCCCTACCAGTGCCGTCCCGTCCTTGGTCCCATATTGCCTTGGACTTTGTTTGTGGGTTGCCACCTTCGCATGGTTTTAGTGTCATTTTAACTGTTGTGGACAGGTTCTCCAAAGCCTGTCATCTGGTGCCGTTAAAGGCTCTCCCTACATCTGCCGTCACGGCCCAGCTTTTAATTAAACATGTCTTTCGTCTGCATGGGATCCCAACAGAGATCCTCTCTGACCGAGGCCCCCAGTTCGTGTCTCGTGTCTGGAGGGAGTTTGCCACCGCCTTGGGAGCCCAGGTGGCTCTGACCTCGGGGTTTCATCCGCAGACCAACGGACAATGCGAGTGGATGAACCAAGAGTTGGGTGCCATGCTTCGCTGCGTCTGCGCCACCAACCCATCCACCTGGAGTGAGCATTTGGCTTGGGTCGAATATGCCCATAATAGCCATGTCTCCTCCGCCACAGGTCAGTCTCCCTTCGAGTCCTCCCTCGGATATCAGCCCTCTCTGTTCCCCCTTCATATAGATGCCACCATCACCACTCCTCAGTTCCTTCGTCGGGCCCGCCGCACTTGGATCACCACGAGGTCGGCTCTTCAGCGGACCGCGGAAAGGAATCAGCGACTGGCTGACCGACACCGTCGTCCTGCTCCCACCTACTCTCCCGGTCAAATGGTCTGGTTGTCGTCCAAGGATGTCCCGCTGAAGGCGACCACCAGGAAGTTCTCTCCTAGGTTCCTTGGTCCCTTCAAGGTCGCGGCGGTCCCTAGTCCGACGACCGTGCGGTTGGAACTCCCGTCGTCTCTTCGGATCCATCCTGTGTTCCATGTCTCCCTGATCAAACCCGTCGTTTCCAGCCCTCTGTGCCCGGTTCCGGCTCCGCCTCCTCCTGCTCAGCTCTACAAAGGGGGGCTGGTATACAAGGTGCGGCGCATCCTCGACTCTCGCCCCCGTGGTCGGGGTCTTCAATATTTGGTGGACTGGGAGGGGTACGGCCCTGAGGAACGCTCCTGGATTCCCCGGTCCAAAATCGAGGACCCCTCTCTCATCTCGGACTTCGAGGCCTCCAGATCCGGTGCTAGGACGCCGGGGGGCGTTTGTTAAGGGGGGGGCACTGTCATGTTCCTGGGCAGAGGTGAGTCACACCTTCTCCTCTCACCAGACTCTGAGCTAATTCTCCACAGGTGAGGAGCAGGGGGAGCAGCAGCTGCAGGAGATTTCCCCAATCAGGGACGCGGGTTCAAAAGGAGGATGGAGACACATCACTTTGCCGGATGATTGCACCAGTTTAGGTAGCACCAGCCACTCGACTCTGAACTTTGATCTTGTTAATTCGTGTTTTGACTCGCCTTCGACTAGTGGATTTATGACCTTGGATTGTATTTTGGATTTGGAATTGGATTATCCCTTACGCCTGTTTTTGTCTCGCTCAGGATCATCTCATCATCTACTCACCCTCGCTGTCTTCGTTTTCTGGAACATACTCATCACGTCCCATCCTCCTCCGCCGTTCCTGTTTGGCTTTCCCTCTGCTACCTCACCCCTCCTGGATCTCTCATCCTCTGCCCAGCGTCCTCCCCGGCTTCCCCTCCTCTACTGATTAACCTGAGCACCTCAGAGACTCGAGCCGTGTTGCTCATCCCACAGGACTTCTCTGTGCGGTTTCAGTTCCCGTTTTTATAATAAAGACATTTTACTTTACTGCTTTGGACTACGTGTGCTGATTCTGCATGTCTTGGGTTAGACACTTACCTCGAGCCATGACAAAGAGGTGAATTAGGAATGATCTAACTGACTATAAATACAAGCTAAACATTAACTGTTTTACTTTAACAACAGCTGTGCTGTACTAAATGATGAAGTTATGTGGAGCTAGGATTGGGACCATATTACATGTAACTTGTACCATGTTTGTAGCTGTACAAAATGTGAAGTACATGCTACAAAAGGAAAGTTAGTTACAAAGCATTTTACCAGTTACTTGGGATATTGCCTCAATCCCAGCTCCATAACACTAAACCTTTTAACTTGGTGCAGGAACGATAAAAACGTAAAGTTGTACTGAAAACACATTAAGCTGACATGGAACAGCATTTTTATGCATCTGTATAAAACTCTATTTTTCGCAAACATTTAAAAAATAGATACCAAAATAACACTGTTCAGCTGGATACACGTCTAAATGACATAATCCTTTGGAATCCTGTGAAAACTATTTTTGCAATCTTTAGGATCCAGAGCTTCCTTGAGGTTTTTGTCTGATTCTGCATTTAGGTGGTGGCAGTGACGGTCCAGGGCGTTCCCGAGGATGTGCATCCGCCAGTGGTAACAGCCGTCAGTCCGTTCTCGCTCAACGTGAGCTGGTTTGAACCTTCCCACCAAAATGGGCTCATCCAGTGGTACCAGCTGAACCAGACTGGTGTTGGAACCATATTCACACACACCAATGGACCTAAGAGTTACGTTGTGACAGGTGAGGTGTGGATTAATCTCACTTCCTCTTTTAGCATTTTGTTCTTTTCTTTTCTCTTTCCTAATTTGGTTATGGGCTCTACTCCTTTTCACATGCCCTGTTTTTTTTTGTTTGTTTTTTCTCAGTTTTTTTATTTGCTCTCCTTTTTCCTGCCTTTTCTTTATCTTTCTCCTCATCTTATGGTCACCTTCTATTTCTTTCATCTTATTTCTTTTTTAGGTGTTTATTTTTGCAAAGAAGCTCATAAAATTTAATCACAAATATTAATAATGGCTCAAAGTAGAAGTGCTGAAAGCCCAAAAACTACATGTAAACACATAAGAGAGAGACGTTTAAAAGACCAGAGTTATCCATCCATTCCCTTCCACTTATCTCAGGTCTACTCACAGATGTAACTTGTTCAAGAGGGAGTCCCAGACACCCCGCTCCCCAGCGTCACTCTCCAGCTCCTGCTAGGGAATCCCAAGGCGTTTCCAGGCTAGAGAGGATATAATCCCTCTAGAGAGTTCTCGGTTTGGCTCGGGATCCCTCCACAGTAGGATTCGCCCAATAAACCCGAATATTTAGCTGCTCGTCTCAGGTCTTCTTTTGTTCATGATCCAAATCATATGATCATAGGTGAGAGTTGGAATGCTGATGTAAATCAGGGACTTTGCTTGTAGTTCAACACCCTTGTTACTGAAAAATAATCCCTGATCTGTTGGTTTTTCTCCTTCCTACCATCACTTGCATAAAATACATCAAAATACTTCTACTTCTTTGTAGCTCATCCCCACTAGTGTGTGAATGTGTGTGTGAATGGGTGAATGACTGATTTTATTGTGAAGCACCTTAGGGGGTTGCAGAACCCAGGCCATTTACTATTTCTACTGTCTCTGTTTGAGGCAGAACCTTTCCCTGACTCGGGGAGAACATTTTATCTAGGATATGGAGAAGCCAACTCTCATGCCAGCTGCTTTTCACCTAAAACCCGCCCTGATGCAGATCATGGCTTATTTATCTTCACAAAGTAGACGATGTGTCTCCATTCTCAGGATTGCGCCTGCAGTCGAGCTAGTTCCTATTGCAGGTTAGACACCACTGGAGCTGTCCATTGTCTTTAATTCGTTTTGTAGTGGTCATGGACAGGTTCTCAAGCCACATCCGTAAAGAGGCGAATGTCTGTTTGGGACAAGAGAGTTAATGTTTCAGAGAGTTCAAGAAATGACATAAAAAGCAGGTACAAAGAAGACAAGTTGCCCAGAAAACAAGTCTCTGCTTTGTTGGACCACCTTTAGCTTTGATTACAGAATGCATTCACTGTAGCACTGTTGGGGTTATTAGGAGCGAACAATTAGTAAGCTTCAACTTACTTTTGGATTCTTCAATAAATTCTGTAAATATGGGAATATTTACTGATTTATTAATTAATTAAGATATTCTTAGATATACGGGGCACCATTCCCCTTTTTCCGGGGAAAAATTGAATCCAAAACTCTTATCAGTCTTTCTTGAAGTTCGTAGAATCCTTGGAGCAGAGACTTCTCTTCGACACAACAAAGCTACTGGAGACGAAAATCTGAATTTTATAACGTTTAATTAACAATTTGTCAAATGAATAAACAGTGGAATAGATGAATAATAACCGTGTGATATGATTGAAGATGGATGTGTTTGCATGTGATGGAGGATGTATGAATGGGGTCCTTTGTTCTCACAAAGGAGTAGTGTGTATGTGTGTGTGTGTGTGCGTGTGTATGGATTCAAAATGGAGTCTTGAATACAAGATGGCTGACCCCTTTGTCTGGCTAAAGTGTGGGTGGCAACTTGCACTTTAACTTCCAAAGCACTTAGAATCAGTAGTAACTTAACCTTAAATCACTCAAAACATTTCAAAAGATCATGAAACAACACAAAAGATTAATCACAAATTAATATCTTTTAGTTTCAGCCTGGCCATGACAGAAACCATTTTAAGATACCAAACAATGATCAATAAGCAGTTTATTCTTTCAAAATGACCCGACGGACGTGTTTGGGACGAAAGAGGAAAACACGAAGCTACTTTTTAAGCAATAGACGCGGTTTATTGCTTATTTGAGACTATAGAGGAAACGGGAGAAGAAAAGGAGAGAAAAAAATGAGTTTCCTGATCACCAAAGCAGCAAGGCGTCCCCCGCTGTTATGACTTGACGGTTCTCCGTTTTTCTCCGCGGTTTCCGGCGTCATCCGTCGGTTTGATGCTTTCTCCGTTGTTTGGCGTTCACGAGTGTTTCTCCACGGGCTGGACAGAGACAGCAAAGTTTCTTTCTGTGCTGAGTTATAACTTACAGCGTTCCTGAGAGCTGGATGGAGTTGTTGTTTTCCTCCGCAGTTCTGTGTCCTCAAACATCAGCTGGAGGGGAGCAGAAACGAGCAGATCAGCGGTCCCGTGGGCTCAACTTGGCACTTAGAGCTTCCGCGTGCTCAAAGAAGTCGGAGCGTCGACAAGCGTGTCCTCACCGCCAGGTATCCTGGGCAAAAGAACGAGGTTTCTTTGTCTCTGCTGAAGATTTATGGTCTTAGTTCGCGGGGAAAGCTCCACGGCTTCCCGCACATGCGCAGAACGTGTTTCTGGTACTAGGCGGTAACATCACCCAATGCTTCCGTGTGCAAAGCATCATGGGAAATGAAGTTTCTTGGCGCTGATGTGATTATTTGCTTTTCAGAGCAATTTAAGCACAGTCATTTTAGAGAAAATCACTGCATAGTAATTTCCTCATGAGGTCAGACCCTCAACATTCCCCCTTTTGGTTTCGGGGATCGCGCCCAAAGCTCGATCGTCGGAAGCACAGATGGGTTTGTTCCTCATGAACGTAGGTCGACTTGATTGTCGGAAGCACAGGTGGGTTTGTCCCTTATGACGTTGGTCTCCTTGGACGCCTTTGTCTTTGGTCTTTGTCTTTGGTCAGGCACAAAGAGGATAGGAAACGGGATAGTCCCCAACGCGCATAACGAGAAGAAGCCACTCACGCAGGTGGTACGCAATGATGATGTCGTCCATGCGAGAGGTAGTAGTGTAGAAGGAGGAAGGTCGGTGGGCGGTTAACTCCACGAGTGGACACAAAGGCATCTCACCGCCGGCCATACAGTTCAGTTTATGGATCACGCGGTGATGTACGAGGTCCATAGTTCGCAAACGCGCATTGACCTATGTGGTCCCAAGATTCCCCCCTTTTTGGTCCAAAGGGTGGATCAGGACAGTCTTTGGGCTAAAACAAGGACCATAAACTAAGAGGTACTACAATGTGCTGGTGTGTCAGACAGAGTCATTGACAGACTGAGCTGGGCCGGCACATAACCACTAGTTAATATGTGACCAAGTAAGAAACAAAAAAATACAGAAAACCCAAAAAAACAAACATATAACATATAACATCCAAGAAAATTCATAGCAACCTTGAGGTCTCATAAAATACATTCTTAGGTAATACATTCAGTGTGTAGCTTATAAAGAATGTGACATAATGCAACACTCAGATAAAAATGTGAGGTAGACTAAAATGAGAACTACTCTTAGGTTTACAGAATAACAAAGAAAATGTTGCTCACCCCCTTTAGACAGGTGTGGTACATTCACGCTTGGAGTCTCCCCGAACGCGGTTACGAGGCACACCGTAGGTGAGCAAGTGCATCTTATCTTGGAGTTTATTAACACGCCTGTAGGCGGAATAAGCTATCACGGCCGTGATGAGCCATTCCATCCCCAGGGCGACCAATGTGCAGATTAAAGTCGTATAATCTGTGTCAATGTAGCGTCTTGGGCGTCAAAGTAAGTTCACGCGGGTTTTGTGTGAACTTAACAAATTTGGTTCCTTCAATCAGTAATTGTTGGTCAATTTCTAAATCGAAGGCAAAGTTATAACCCTGGAAAACGTCCATGATCTCAATCTCTGAGTCATGCTGTTCGAGGTTGAGATGATGGAGTGCCAGGTTTCTAGTTCAAAGTGGAAATGCCTACCGTCCTTTCAAATACCAATGTTAGCATCGACCTAAACCTATAGATGTGAGGTGTCTCAATTATGGGAACGTTTAACAGGAAACCGAGTTCTAATTTTTTTTTCAACGTGAATGGGAATTGCACTACCTAGGCTGTACGCTAGGTGGATTTGTGAAAGGTGCACCGTAGAGGGGTAGCAGCTGTCAAGCTAACTTTGAGCAGGTCCAGTGGTACCAAGTACGGGGAAATACGACTTTCAACCAAGCTGTCCAGCGTGGAACTTACTTCCCTGAGCAGGTCCTACATCAAATCTCTCACCACTCGTGTGTACACAATATCCTGATGTATGGTTTCAGACAAAGTCTTGATTGCACGTAGAGATTCATTAATCAGAGCAGAATGTAGGTTGACAGTTACAAGAGTACCCTGTAAGGTTTTAGTAAGTACTTCCTGTTAGCGTTCTAGGAGGAGTTTCTCTTGGTTAGTGAAAATGACGGCGGGGGGGGGGCTTGGTTCTTTGTCGGTTAGTACATGTTAGTGGGTTAAACGTGCACTTCCCCCCTTTTCCATTTCCATGCATAAAACTATGTGGAGACTACGTCTACCTCCTGCGGGGAGTCTGGTCTCTGTACCCGCGTGGATGGTTTGACGTAGGGTTTGATTTGGTTTGCATGCACCCATTTGTAGACAGGCTCCTGTCTCGCTTTGGTGATGCGTAACCTGTATGCAACTGGAGAGAGTTTTGCCACGATCTCAAATGGTCCTGACCAGCAGGGCAGGAACTTCTTAGCTTTGCGTGCCGGTTGGGCGAACCGAAAGTAGAATACTTTGTCACCCACCTCGTATTCGCGGCTGGTTGTCTTTTGGTCGTAGTAGGCCTTAGCGCCTTCTACGTTGGTCTCCAGTTTCTTCTGAGCGTGCGCGAACGTAGCTCTGAGGTGTGTTTTCAAGTCTGCCACATACTGATGAGCGGTATAGGCAGTGGCAACACTGACATCCTCTGGGTGATACAGGAGGTGCAGTGGTAGAGTCATCAGTCTGC